CCCCAAAACCCCAAAACCCCAAAACCCCAAAACCCCTTATGTACTTCACCAATGGAAATTTCAAAAATAAAATAAAAATGAAATACTTGTTCTGTAAGCAAGCTAGATTATTTTTAGGCTTTTTAGTGTGACTGGTTATGGTTGGGTGCGTCCCTGCCAGTGAGAGGGATTCTTCATGGAAGTTTCAGTTGAAAGGGAGGCAGAAGCAGGATGAGGAGAGCGAACAGATATTTATAGATCCAATGGATTACAGGGAAGATATCGGAAGTGGAGAAAAGCTGACTGATTTCCTTGTAGATCTTCAGAACGAAATAGCCGTAGTTGTATGGTACATAAATGACTATGGTCATTGGTATGTAAATCGAATAAATCATGAGGTCAGAGGAGCTCTTATGAACATTATTTCTCAAAATTACCCAGATGTTATCTACCATGAAGTGGATATGTCTGAGTATAACCTGAACTCACCCACTTATGAAGACTTGGCTTATGATATAGGAATCGATATTAAGATGCTCTACGATTCTCCCATTGTGCTCATAGTTGATGGTGAGAGTGGAGAAGCTTATACATCAGATAAAGGATCAATGGCTTTAGTTAAAATGGTTGATATGTATCTTCAAAAAGCAGAATACCACCAATTTGGAGTAGATAGTGAACTATCAGATCTAGACAATGTGATATACCAAGTTTCAAGATTTCCTGTTCCAAGCGTAATCGAGCTAGAGGAGCAATATAAAACCATCCATTCACACAAAAATGCCAAAAAAGATAGCCATCCTAAAAACCAAGAAATCCCAAAACCAGAAATCCCACATCAACAAAATCCTATCAATACATTCAAAGAAGATCATAAAACCCCATCACCCCCATCCCCATCTCCACCCCTTCAGTCCCAACCCCCAGTATCCACCTCTCCAAGCCCCTCCGAAGATCCTGACCTAATCTCCTTAGAACTATACTCCCCTCCCTTCGCCCCTTCCTACTCCTACACACCCCTCGCTGCAGCTCCTCCACCACCCCCTCCAGCTCATCCCACCCTTCCGCCGTACACACAGCAGTTCCAGATTCCCTCTGGTACCACACAGAAGTCTGAAATGGTCCAAAATCCGGTAAACTCTCAGAAGAATAAGTAACAAATTTTCCACAGGTTTTAAAATTGGAATTTGGTTAAGGGGGTTAAGTTGAGTGATATGGAATAGGTATCAAGAAGAGGGAGAAGGGATGCCGCCAAGGAATACATACACCTACCCACCAGAATCAGACCCAGAATCCTCCCCAGTCATCACCAGTAAGCCCCCACTCCACCCTTCCTATAGCTAACCCAGAGGACACTATCTTCAGAGATCCTACAGAAGACTTCTATTGGTAAATTTCAATATGGGATTAAGCAGTTGGGGTTTTGGGGTTTTGGGGTTTTGGGGTTTTGGGG